CCCACGCCTGCGATGCCCCCCGCCCCGGCTGTCACGGGGAAGCCAGCCTCGGCCTCCGCTTCCCCCTCTGCCTCCGCCTCCGCCTCCACTTCCGCCTCCACTGCCACTGCCAAGCGGAAGCGTAAGAGCCGGTGGGGCCCCGAAGAGGACAAGGTGGAGCTGCCGCCCGCTGAGCTGGTGCAGAAGGACGTGGATGCCTCTCCCACACCCCTGTCAGGTGGGCCTGGCTTCCCTGCCAATCGTGTCCTAGCATGTGCTGCCGCAGCGCTCCACCTGCGGCTGGTTGCGTGCGTATGTGTGTGTGCGTGCGTGTGTGTTTGCGTGTTTGCCCCGTGTCCTCAGCAATTGGTTCCAGGACGACTGCAGATTCCAGCTTGGGCCCTGGCCATAAAACGGTGTGAGTCCGAGCCAGGTGCCATACCGACATCCCAGCTGTACTCAGGAGGCTGAGGCAGGAGGAACTCCATGAGTTCAAGACCCATCTGAGCTACATAGTGAGCTCAAGGCCAGCCTGAACCACTGTCTCAAAGAAAATAGTGTCCCTGGAGGCCAGGAAAGTTATGAGGTTTTTTTGTTTTGTTTTGTTTTGGATACTGGGGATTGAACTCGGGTCCTTGGGCTTGCAAGGCAGGTGGCACAACTGCTGAGCTAAATCCCTGGCCCAAGTTTTAAGTTTTAATGAAGCCCAATTTTTCAATTTTTTCATTGTTCCCTATGAGTTTGATGGTGTTAGCTCTTAAATTCAGATCTTTAATCCTTTTGTGAATGATATAAAGGTTCCAACTTCCTTTGCGTAGAGATGTCCTTTTTCCCAGCAGCATTTATTGATGAAACTGTTCTTTCCCTATCAAGTGACACGTGTAAAAAATCACTTGGCCATGGACACAGGCTTATTGCCCAGGGTCCCAGGTTCTGTTACTCGGCCAGTGCCTGTCCTGACACCAGTGTCCCACTGTGGGATTGCTGTCGCCTTGTAGTAAGTGTGAAAGCAGGAACGCGTCTTCCAGCTCCCTTCTTCTTAATGACAGTTACTGTGGCACTTGGGCCCCGTGGGTGGATGGCCGGGGCCAGGGGCTGGGACTACTGACCACACGGACGGGATGTGAGTTCAGATGGGCCTTTGGTCTGCAGGAACTGCTGCGGCTTCTGCTGGGTGCACACATCCTGGTGTGGGTCACTTTGGGCCACGTCCGCACCTTAAGGATCTGCGGACACAATACCTTTCCGTCTGTTTAAGTCTTGCGACTCTTTGGTTACATTTGTTTCTAAATGATTTGTTCTTTTTGGTGCTGTTGTAAATGACATTGTTTTTTCCAGTTTTCTTGTCAGGCTCCTTTCTAGACAGTTGATTTTGGCGTGATTATTTAGCATCCTGCAGCTTTGCTAAATGTAGTAGTTCTAACGGGTATGTGTGTGTGTTCATGTTCCTTTTAACTTTTTTTCTGTTTCTGATTTTGTTCTCTGGGTGTTGCTCAGGTGCCCAGGCGGACTGGAGTGGCCCAGCCTCCGAGTAGTGGGTGTGACCACCACACCTGGCTGCCGGTCTTCAGGGTCTCCACACACGATTGTGTCATCTGCAGACAGGGAGTTTCACTTCTGCCTTTCCAGTCCAGATACTTCTTACTGCTTTTTCTTCCCTAATTGCTCTGGCTAGATTTCCAGCACCACAGTGACTGCAAGTGGTCAGAGCTGGCGTCTCCGTCCCGTTCCTGACCCTGGAGGGAGCGCAGTCCACTCACCGTGGAGTGGGACATCAGCTGTGCCTCCTCCTCACTGCCGGCCATGGAGCCACAACCCGGGAAGGGCCTTTGTGACGTTGAAGGAAATGTATGGAGTGCTTTTGTCACGAAAAGGTCTTAAATCTTACCACATGCTTTTTCTGCATCAGTTACAAGGGTCCTGTGCTTGTTCCCCCTTCTTTCTGTTAAGCGGTCTGTTGCGTGGATTGACTTCCGTGTGTTAAGCCGTCCTTGCATCCCAGGATGCATCCCGCTCGCTCACGGTGGGTACTCCTGTTAATAAGCTGTCAGAGTCCCCTCCCTAGCCCTGTCGAGGGTTTCTGCACCTGTTCACGAGGAGTGTTGGTCTGTGGGTATCTTCTACTGTCTGCGTTGCCGTTGGCCTCGGGGTGATTCTAGTCTGGTGCTTTGCTCTTCGGGTTTTGGGAAGAGTTAGAGACGGTGTACTGCTTCTGTTTACTGTTTGGTAGACGTCTGGCTCAGGAACTTTCTTTGTGGGGCGGTTTGGTTACTGATTCAGTCTCGTTACCAGTCTAGTCTGATGTTGTTTCTTCTTGAATTAGTTTTGGTGGCTCGTATGTTTCTAGGACTTTGTCCTCTTCTCTAGGTTGTCTGAGTTGTTTTCCTATAGTTATTTAAAGCATTCTCTTCCAGTCCTTCTTGCTTGATAACTTTTTTCCAGTTTTAGTCATTGAGTCTCCGGTTTTTTGTTTTTTGTTGTTTTTTTTTTTTTTTTTTTTTTTTTGTTACTTGGGATCAAACTTGGGTCCTTGAGCTTCTGAGGCAGGCGGGGAACCATTGAGCTAAACCCACGGACCCTCTCCTCTCTCTTTTTCTTAGTCTAGAGATTGTCAACTTTGTTGATCTTTTCAAAGAACTAACTTTTGGTTTCATTGATTTTTCTCTCATGTTTTGATTCCCTATTTGATTTATCCCTTTGCTGATCTTTTATTACTTCCTTTCTTACGTTAGCTTTGGATTCTGTTTGCTGTTGTTAATTAAGATAATTCACTTTAGTTTTTTTTTAATATATATATATATTTAAACCTTAATGTCTGTAAACTTACTTTGTATTACTAATTTTTATTTCTGTTTTTGTGCTGGAGATGGAACCTGGGGCCTCATGTGCTTGCTAGGCAACTGTTGTACCGAGCTACACCCCGGCACAAATTATCAGTCTTAGCTCTTTTTTTTTTTAGTGTATGCAATTGTAGCTATAAATTTTCCCTTTTTGTTGTTGTTGTTGTTTTGTTTTGTTTTTTGCTTATTTTGGGGTGTTTTTTTTTTAGCGGGGTTGGGATTTTTTGAGACAAGGTCTCACTGTATAGTCCAGGCTGGCCTTGAACACACTAAGTTGCCCAGGTTGGCCTTGAACTCACAGTGACCTTCCTGTCTCAGCCTCCCAGATACTGGAATTACAGGCACGCACCACAGTGCCCACCTTGTATCAAAATTTTGGCAAAATATAATGGTCTCTTGGGCCGGGGATTTCGCTCAGTGACACTGTGCCTGCCTCGAAAGCACAAGGTCCTAAGTGCGAGCCCAGGTACCAAAAAGAAGTTCTCTTTTGTCTCTGGTGACTTCTTGACTTAACCTTCATCTTGTCTGACTAGTGTACCAGTCTCAGCATTCTCTTGGTGACTTTGGCATGAAATAATCTTTGTCCATCCCTTCACTTTCAACCTGTTTGTGCCTTTGGGGCTAAAATAAGTCTCTCACCATGGGCTATGGTTGGATCTTATTGTCATCCTTCAACTTCGAGAGCAGGGCTGCTTTTCCGTCCTGGAAAGCTTAGGGCATGTTCACTGAGAAGCACCACACTCCATTTTTCCCGGTCCCCTCCAGGACAGCATGGTCGGGACAAGTCCCTGCCAAGTGTGGCCACCCCCTCCTTTCCTCCCCCGAGCCCACAAGAGCACCATCTTCCTGCACATAAGGCCGGGCCGATGACAGAGCCCCCTCTGCCGTCTGTCCCCCACCAGCCACACACACAGCTTGCACTGTGGCGGAAACATCCCAGCTTGACAGGCCGGTGCATGGGGGAGTGGCATGCACACCACTGGCCACTGGGCGCCAGGGCCAGGAGACGGAGGCCACTCACCCAAGACTTGGGGCTGGGATCTGGTCCCTCCCTGGCCCCGGCCTCAGACATTCCAGCTGGAGGAGAAACACTCCCAAGTGAAGATCCCAGCACTGTACTTGCACAGGCTTTAGACAGCCAGGATTCTGGGGACCTCACTGGCCCCTGGGTCCAGGTACACCCAGCTCCTGAGGGGCTCAGGCAGGCCCCTGCTGAAATTGACCCCCCCCCATACACCCTGGGCTCTGAACTGTAGGCCCGGATTCCCATCCCCCTGTCCCTGTCATCCTCAGGGTGCTGGGCAGGAGGAGAGCACTGTGGGCACACACCAGGATGGACCCCCAGGGCATCTTGTGTCCCCCAAGCCTTCCAGGAAAGGGCCAAGGAGCAGTCGTGAGGATTCTTTTACTGTGTGTGCACAGAGCTGGGTATGGGGTCCAGGACTCCGCGCTTGCAGCCCACACGGGTAACTGCTCAGGGCAAAGCCCAGCCCTCATCTGATGGGGCTCTGCACAGATCCTCTGCTGGCTGCTTCTCCCCCTACCCCCCATCGAGGGTGGTTGTTTCCGCCACCCAGGTGGACCCGCGTTGCTGGCTGCAGCCCAGTCCCCAACTAAAGCCAACGTCAGTGTCAGCCTCTGCCTCCCTCCCAGGGGCAGCGCGCTGGGCTCTGCAATGACAGCTACCTTCCAGGCCTCCCCGTGCGCAGGCCGGTGACGCGCGCGCACACACACACACACACACACACACACGCACACACACACACACGCACGCACGCACGCACACACACACACACACATATGCAGTTGCATCTCAGCCCCGTCTCTGGCCTTGCCCTGCCCAGTGCTTGCCCTGTCACCCGCTATCTGTGCGACACTGAGGCCTCTGAGATGTGTCAGCATTTGCATCGGAGGTGATACCGGGGATCACGAGGCCATGAAAGGCGGTGCCCCTCACAGCACTGCTGAGGCCCCCCGAGGCCCTCCCCAGATTCGAGGTGCTAACAGCCAGGCCCTGAAGCCGCGGTCTCTGCGGAGTCTGTGCCAGCTGCCTTGGGCACTGTGACCCTGCTCCTGGGCTCGGGTGGGTACCAACTGCCCTCGTCTCCCCTCTCCAGTGCAGGACCTCAAGGGGCTTGGCTACGAGAAGGGGAAGCCCGTGGGCCTGGTGGGCGTCACAGAGCTGTCGGACGCCCAGAAGAAGCAGCTGAAGGAGCAGCAGGAGGTAAGGCCCCGAGGGCTGGGCGCAGGGAGCCGGCCCGTCTGCCGCACACGGCTCCTGCCGCACCGCCGACCACATGCCCTCGCTCCGGCCCGCAGATGCAGCAGATGTACGACATGATCATGCAGCACAAGCGCGCCGCGCAGGACATGCAGCTGCTGTGGGAGAAGGCGCTGCAGCAGCACCAGCACGGCTACGACAGCGACGAGGAGCTGGACAGCGAGCTGGGCACCTGGGAGCACCAGCTGCGGCGCATGGAGATGGACAAGACGCGGGGTGTGTGGACGCAGGGTGCGGGGTGTGGGCAGGGGAGCCACTGCAGTCCTCAGCCCCTTCTGATGGTGCCAGCTTGGGCAAGAAAGCTGGCCTCTGAGGAACGCGGCCACGTGGGACCCCACCTCCCTCCGCTCATGCCCCTGCCTCTCCCGGTAGAGTGGGCCGAGCAGCTGACGAAGATGGGCCGGGGCAAGCACTTCATCGGGGACTTCCTGCCCCCGGACGAGCTGGAGAAGTTCATGGAGACCTTCAAGGCCCTCAAGGTGAGCCCGTCCACTGGCCGGGCACCTGTGTGACAGACGCCGTCTGCATCAGGACCTGCGGGGGCAGTCGGCTGCCGCTCCAGTCACCGCCTGGTGCAGGGAGCTGGGCCTCTGGTCCGGCAGCTCGCATTCCCGGCTCTCCCCGCAGAGAGCTTGGGCTGCTGAGCTTGCAGGAGACACAGCTGGGGGGCACCTCTCTCGTGGGCTCTCCCATGGTTCTTTCAGGAAACTGCTTGTCCCCTGTAACCTGAGCCAACAGGGCAGTGGCCTCATTGGCCACGTGATTTTAGCACTTGGCGCAACTGTTCCCAGGCAGGGCCCTGTGGCGTGTGCCTGTCATCCCAAGCATTGGTCTTGTTTTTTGTTGCACATGGTACTGGGGATGGAGCCCAGGGCCTTTGCACTGACCTGTGTCCTCAGCCCCCTTTTTTTTTGTCAGTACTGAGAGTCAAACTCAGGACCTTGTGCCTATGAGGCAGGTGCAGTGCCACTGAGCTACATCCCCAGCCCTCTCAGCCTCTTTTTAAATTTTTTATTTTGAGACAGGCTTTAAGTTGCTTGACGATGAAGCATTAGTTTTTCACACAGTGGACAGCCATGGCACTTGCCGCCGACCGGGCCACCGGGGAGCTCAGTACCCTGAGGGCCTGGGATGAAGACTGATGACTTTGGGAGGAGTCTGGTGGGAGTGAGGCCGGCGGGCAGGCAGATGTGCGAGGCAGAGCCAGGGCCCAGGTGACGGCCCCTCCTTCCCTGCAGGAGGGACGGGAGCCCGACTACTCCGAGTACAAAGAGTTCAAGCTGACGGTGGAGAACATCGGCTACCAGATGCTCATGAAGATGGGTTGGAAGGAGGGCGAGGGGCTGGGCTCCGAGGGCCAGGGCATCAAGAACCCGGTGAACAAGTGAGTGCAGGCTGCGCCTCCCCTGGGGGCCTCGCCTTGAGGACAAGCTGCCGCGGCCCCTTCTTCCCCAGCCCTCACACCAGTGGGGCGGGCGCTCCCAGGTGGGACCCTGCCCACACCACCCGCTCCCCCTCTGCTGCAGGGGCACCACCGCAGTGGACGGCGCTGGCTTTGGCATCGACCGGCCGGCCGAGCTCTCCAAGGAGGACGACGAGTATGAGGCCTTCCGCAAGAGGATGATGCTGGCCTACCGCTTCCGGCCCAACCCCTTGGTGCGCGCTCCCTGGTCCGCCGCGGCTTCCCACGGTCCTCGGGAGGGGTGGGGCAGAGTCCCTGGCCCCGTGGTGACCCTGCCGTGACCTTGGCTCCCACAGAACAACCCCAGGCGGCCGTACTATTGACCGGAGGACACAGCCTGCTGTCGCACGACCACCCTGGCCGCTGGAGCATCTGGCCTGCCTTTCCGCCTGCTCCTCTGCGTCACCAGTGCTGTTCCGTGTATTAAAGTCCCAGTGCTCACCCGCCCAGCAGCCTGGTCCCTGTCCCTCCTCGGTGGGCCGGGATGGGCGAGCAGGGCAGGACGATAGCTGGGAGACCCTGCCACCTGGGGAATGCAGGGCACTGCCTGGCCCTCGCCTCCGGGAGGGGGGTCTTCGTCCACGAAGGCCTGGGTAGCTGTCAAGGGAGCCAACCCATGCAGCCCCTCCCTAGGGCACAGGGACAGCTGCCCCCGCAACAGCCTGGGGGAGTGGCAGCCACCAGACCTGGGCATGAGGGGTGTCTGTGGGGACCCCCGTCTGGCCCTGCGGTGGGACGGGGAGAGGCCACCAGGCAGGGCCAGCCAGCCCTCTGTCAGCCACTGCAGCCCAGGCTGATCCTGCTGCTGCTTCCAACGCTAGGGTGCACACTTGAGCTGACCTGTGTGCGACAGGGCTCGAGCAGCTGCTCCATCCCAGGGTGGGCGGGGCCTGGGAGTCACGCTCCCACCAGCTCTGGGGTCTCCCAACCCCAGGGCTCCAGCTGCAGTCACATAGTCACTGAGCAGACCCTGGGCACTGACTGCCAAGCAGACCGACCAGCTGTACCCCAGACTTCTGCCGGAATGGTCGGGCTGGGCTTCCTTGGCTATGCAAGCTGCCAGGAGGAGCCACCCAGGAGATGGCCTGGGGCGTGTCACCGTGGACCTATTCCTCTGGGTGCTGGGCCGGCAGGGAAAGCAAGGACACTGGTGGGCCCACCCCGACCAGCTCACGGGTGTACTGGGCACCCACTGACGGAGGAGATGGGACCCCTGGCTCGGTCCCAGGCACCCTGTGCCCCGTCATCTCCGCTGCGTCGAGGTGACCTGGAGGCTCGCTTCAGTCGAGCGCGGACTTTCCCTAGGGCCAGGCCAGAGGCGACCTCCAGATGCCGCTGTGGGTGCGTTCGGGCCCCGCAGGGCTCGGGCTGCAGACCGGAAGCAGGGGTGGGGCTCAGCGCTGGGGACCTGAACTTCACCCCCAGGTGACAGGGCACCCGGGGACGAGCGGAGCCTGGCCTGGTCCCGAAGACCTTCGGGCACGGCTCAGGCTGGGACCTGACCCTGATGTCCAGGTGGAGGGGCCGGGAAGCAGGTGGGCATCGCTCGCCGTGCCGTGGGCAGCAACCGCGAGTCTTCCGCCTGGGCGGGACCTGATGCAGACTGGAGGGGGCAGCACAAAAGACCCCGGTTCCCTCCGCCTCCCCATCCGTTCCCCAACCGACTCCACCTGAGCTCGCTTCGGACCCCACCTCCCACCTCCCTCAGATGAAGGACCGTTCGCACCCCAGCCAGCTCTGCCGCCGTGCAACCTGGGCGCGAGTCCTGGGCCCAGGGCTGTGGGGTAGAAAGGCCCCTGTAGGGACCCTTAGGGATGGGGTGTAGCTCAGGGTGGGGCGCTCGCCTAGCCCGCGTGAAGTTCCGGGTTCCAAACAGAGCCCCGAGAAAGCACCCCGTTGAGATCGAGTTGGGGGGGTGCCACTTTGTCAGGACAAAGAAGGCACAAGTGCACCCCAGCCCCAGCCACGGGTGGAAAGAGGCCTGAAGGACCAATTCCGACGCCTCTGGGACGCAGCCCTGGCCT